ATGACTAATACTGATAAACTTAACCCTTCCTGGAAATGCAAGGATCTAAGACATCTCCAAAGGCTTTGTGATGGAAAATGCTATCCACACCCAAAGAAAGAACTATGGAAGTTCAATTGCTATTTTTTTTTCTCTTCTGTTGAATTTTGTTTCCTCTTTCTGATGGTTCCTCCTATTGGTTTTAATTTTTACTTACAACATCACTAATGTGAAAATATGTTTAATATGAATGTAAATGTATAGCCTACATCAGATTGTGCGCCGTCTTGGGGAGGGTGGTGGGAAGTAAGGGGAGAAAAATTTTAAACTCAAAAGTATATGGAAGTGATTATTGATAAATCAAAAGAAATTAATAAAAAAAAAAAAGAAAATTTCATATTTTATCTCTATTCCACTTCACCACATTAGAATTGGCCCATTCACTGTTCTAATCTGTTTGGTATATCTTTAGACATGGATTCTTTTTTTTTTGTTGTGAGGCAATCAGGGTTAAGTGACTTGCCCAGGGCCACACAGCTAGTAAGTATCAAGTGTCTGAGGCCAGATTTGAACTCGGGTCGTCCTGACTCCAAGGCCAGAGCTCTATCCACTGTGCCACCCAGCTGCCCCTTGGATGTGGATTCTGCCATCATATATTCGCTACTCCTCTCCCAGCTTTGTGTCATTCACAAACTTTATAAAAATGTGATTGACTACTTTACTCAAATAATTGAGAAAAACACTTTAGAGGACAACACTGTCTGTTTCTGCCTCTAGGTCTGTCTTTCGACAACTCTTCTATGTCCCAGGAGATTGCCCAGATCCTTTTCCCTTGTCCCGTAGCTGCTCAGACAAACCAGGGCCTGAACATGGCTTGGCAAGCACTTGGCTTTCTTGCTAGACACCATTCTTTCCCTGTTCCTTAAATTCCTATAACACATGAGGCAGTTGGGTGGTGCAGTGGATAGAACACTGGCCCTGGAGTCAGGAGGACCTGAGGTCAAATCTGGCCCCGACATCAGCTGTGTGACCCTTCACAAGTCACTTAACCCCAACTGCCTCCAAAAAAAAAAAAGTCCTATAACACTTATTGTCTAGTCCTTACTAGGGCATTTAATCATGTACTGTCTTGTATTACTACTTAGATCTTTGCATTGCTGAGAAGAGCTGAGTCTGTCAAAGTTAGTCATCACACAATGTGATTGTTACT